AATATATCATTTTATCATGCCATCATAAAATCATGTAGCAAATAATCACGTATCAATTAAATCAGATGATAACCAGGATCCAGTTATCACAATATTCACCCCTCAAAAGAATTCCGTCCCGGAATTCCTTTAGTCAAAGAGCCATGGGTATTTTGATCTCATTTTCGACTCCAATTCCCAAGTCGCTTCTGGTCCTTTGTGAAACTTCCACTGTACTTTAACTAAACTGATTTATTTGTTTCTCAATATCTTGATTTTTCGGTCAATCACGGCTTTCGGTGTTTCCACAAAGTTCAGCTTACTATGCAGTTTAATTTCTGGAAGTGGTACAGATAGACTCAGATCAGCTAAACATTTCTGCAGATTCGATACATGGAAAGTGTTGTGAATCAGACTTAGTTCTTCTGGTAGCTTTAACTGATATGCCACTGGCCCAATTCGTTTACATATTCTGAATGGTCCAACATACCTCGGACTGAGCTTACCTTTCTTTCCAAATCTGATAATACCCTTTCACGGCGAAACTTTCAACATCACAAAATACCTACACAGAATTCAATCGGCTTTCGACAATTATCAGCATAATTTTTCTGGCGGTCTTGTGATGTTCTAATTCTTTCACGGATTTGTTCAATCATTTCCGAAGTCTCTTGAACAATCTCAGGACCCGTCAACTGCCTTTCTCCTACCTCGTTCCAACATAACGGCGTTTGACATTTACGTCCATACAATACTTCATACGGTGCCGCTTGGATGCTGGAATGTTAACTGTTATTATATGCAAACTCTATTAATGGCAAGTGATATTCCCACGATCCCCCGAAGTTAATGATACAACTTCTCAACATGTCTTTGAGAGTCTGGATAGTTCTTTCACTTTGCTTGTCAGTTTGCGGATGATAGGCTGTACTTAGTCGAATTTCAGACCCCAAAGCTTTCTACAAACTTTCCCAAAACTTTGAAGTAAACCTACTATCTTTATCAGAGATAATAGATAGTGGAACTCCGTGTCAGGTTATAATTTCTTTGATATAAATCTGAGCCAACTTTTCTACAGAGTAATTCTCTCATATTGGGAGAAAATGCACAGATTTAGATAGACGATCAACAATTACCCATATCGTGTCATACCCTTTTGGAGTTCGATGTAATTTTATGACGAAATCCATTGTAATGTGATCCCATTTCCATACAGGTATCTCCAAAGATTGAAGGCTTCCATATGGCTTTTGATGTTCAATCTTAACCTGTAGGCATATCAGACATTGTTCCACATATCTGGCTATGTCCCTCCTCAAACCGGGCCACCAATAAAAAGGTTTCAATTCCTTGTACATCTTATTGGTACCTGGATGAATAGAGTATTGAGACTTATGGCTTTCATTTAATATAATATTTTGAGTATCCCCAAAACACGGTACCCATATTCACCCTTGAAAGCACATAATTCCTTCTTTGTTCAGTTTCAGAGTTGAAATCATCTTACCCAACATTTCTATTTTAACAAGATCTTCCTTCATTGCTTCTTTTTGACATCTCAAAATCTCTTTATGGATATTAGGGACTAAACTTATTCTCATTGCCATAGTTTTAATAGTCCCACTCCTTTCTTTTCTGCTCAAAGCATCAACTACCACGTTGGCTTTTCCCGGGTGGTAGAGGATTTCACAACCATAGTCATTTACAAGTTCAATCCACCTACGCTGCCAACAATTTAGTTCTTTTTGGCTGAACAAATGTTGCAGACTCTTATAATCAGTATAAATCTGGCATTTTATCCACAAAAGATAATGTCTCCAGATTTTCAAAGCAAACACCACCACAGCTAATTCCATATCATGAGTTGGATACTGCTTCTCATGATCTTTCATTTGCCTTAACGCATAAGAAATTACTTTTCCTCTTTGCATCAAAACACATCCCAATCCTAGTTTTAAAGCATCACTGTATACCACAAAATCTTCGGATCCATCATGTAGGATCAACAACGGTGCACTGCAGAGATGATCTTTTAATAGTTGGAAAGCCCTTTGCTGTTCTTCTTCCCACTGAAATTTAACGTTCTTCCGAGTCAATTTGGTCAATGGTACGACTATCTTAGAAAAGTCCTGAATGAACTTACGATAATAGCCTGCCAATCCCAAAAAACTTCGGACTTCAGAAGGAGTTTTCGGAGCTTCCCACTTTGCAACTGCTTCTACTGGATCTACCTTCACCCCTGCTTCGGATATGACATGACCCAAAAAATGAATTTCCCTTAACCAGAACTCACACTTGGATAATTTTGCGTTCAACTTTTCTCTTTTCAGTAATTCCAATATCAGACGAAGATGTTCTGCGTGTTCCTCTTTGGTGTTAGAGCATTGTAACAACCCACCATTTCCACATACATATAATCCACATGATATTACTCATAACACATAATGTAATATTGTTTACAAAATACGGACTAACAAAAACTTTCTAGAATACATTTATGTGTATCTAACTTTCATCAATTCTAAACTTTCTCCTTGCCTTTATCCTGCAAGGTATGATGTCCTGCAAAACAGGTTAGTCCAACTGTAACATACACTTTTGCAAATACGTTACAATTATCCCCTTTATACGTGTTTATGTGATCAAAACGTAAAATTTGGAAGCAAACCCGAATGCAATAAACTATATATGAAATAGATGGAATCATCGTACGAGGCCTAGGGCAAAACAATTGGAAAGAAACAGGTCAAAAGCATCAATATCTACGTTCGGATACATAAAAACTGACTTTTATTGGAAGATAGTTTTTGAAATATTTCTATTGTAAGTTGTAAATTATCTCTTTACGAACGCGTGAGCGAAAACCACGTTAAAAATGGAGGTCCGAGTGAAAAGTTATATGATTTTTAGTGATTAGTGGTCAAATCGAGTTTTCAACCGAGTCAACTCAGCCCTAACTCGTAAAAGTCATATATACATGATGTTTACCTTCTTTTTCACCCAAAATAGAGTTTCATCTCCTATATTTACTACCAAGGGCGATTTTGGCTTCGTAGGGGTGAATGAAGGTTGTTTCAAGGGGTTTTTGCTTGTGTTTTATGCCAAATTCATCCTCCAATTAAGGTATAGTTATTTCATTGGTTAATTTCATGATTTGAAGCTAGTTAGAGATGAAATCAATGAAACCTAATATGAGTTATATTAGTAATATGTTGTATTTAGATTAGTTATAGTCTAACTAAGTTGTTATGATGATTGATTGATGAATTGGAGCTTTTGAAAATTAAGAACATAGGTTGAACTTTGATTTTCTTCATTAATGGCTATTTGGTGAAATTCTTGAGTATTGATCTTGTAATCAATAATATAAACATGGTTAGATGGTATTTTGATTGTTGGAATAAAGATTGAATCCAAAATATGGATTTTAGCCTATTTAGTTGGTGAATTTGACAGYACCAAATCTATCCGAGATGCTGTTTTGAATGTGCGATAACTTCTTAACCGTAGCTCGGATTGCTACGATTATGGACATTTTAGAAAGCTTATATGTAGATTTAAACCTTTCCTTTAGACACTTTCTATAAATAAGGCTTCTAGGTTGGTTATAATTGCGTCTAAAAACTGATAAAAAGTTGATTTTGAGCTGTGAATTATAGTGCCTAAAATGAGTTTTAATTAAGTTTGGTTAAGTTTTTGTTGTCGGATCTTTATGAAACTTTGGGTACATATTACAGGTGTTAAATAAGCTCACTTGGTCCTTYCAGAGTGACCGTTGGACGACGTTTAGACATATATAGATGTAGAGCCTAATTTGGCTCAATTTTTTGAATATCGAAAAGTACTGTGAGTTTATGGTGCTACTTAACTTGCTATTTGCTAGACATGTGTTATCTATTTGTTAATTGCTTCCACACTCATCCATATGTCTCCTTATCAATTTCAAGAGATTATTGGCTATTGCACTCCGTCCTTCCATACGTGCTACTCGGTGGTTACTTTGTGTTTCACCCGGGGAGGCACGCTTAAGCCCATATCAGCTGAGACCGTGTTAGAGTCCGGTCATTTTCCCCACTATCCGGGAGAGCTCAGGTGGGAAGATCATTCCACTAGCCGGGATAGCTCGGGTGGTATGAAATCTATGGTATATATTGTTGTGATTGCCCCGACCGGGATAGCTCGGTGGCAGTACATATCAATTATTGTCTTTCACACGATCTAGTTGCATACTTTGATATTCAGATGTATGATTCTCGAATGATGGTTACATATTACATGATTTACATCCTTCGTGATCATTGACTTCCATGGATTACATATGTGAAGCTTTAGTAGTTAGTAGTTCCCGTTTACTCACTAAGCATTATGTGCTTACCCTTTTAGTTGTTCACATTTTTACAGACCGTGTAGATAAGGCAAAGAACAAGCTCGGGTAGATTGAGATCTTTGCTTTTGGTGCTTTCAGTAGCACGACTCTTTTGGTATTATATAGTTAGTTGAATACAGCTATGGTTTGTAAATTATTAGTTGTCTTTTGGTTGTAACTGCAAGTATCTAGATAACGGGTAGTTAATGCCCTTCATCTTGTATATAGTTTAAGCTTCTGCAAATCTATTAAGTTTATTTTGTCCATTTTAGGATATTTTGGAAATCAGGTGCTTACGGAAACGTCCTGTAAACCAAGCGGACATTTCGAATTAGAAACTCGTAAATATTATATCCCGTTTGCTTTCTAATGGTTTAAAAATGTAACTTTTGGTGGTTTGCTTATAATTTATAGAAATGAGGTATTCAACCTAGTATCATTTATGTAATCTGGGTATTTCAATTTGGTATCAGAGCCAGGTTTAAGTGAACTGGATACCAGCGACAGTATCCGGACTTTACCCTTGTGTTGGTATCATGTAGTAAGTATGTTTTGATTTAAACGGGATATGAACTTAAGAGAAACCTAGGTGGGAATTGGGAATTTGTTATAGGATTCTATTTAATGTTATGTATACGTTGTAACTTTCAGAAAGATGGCCGACGGTGATGAAGCTAGTCACACCCCATCTAACGACAATGTAAGAGAAAATGCTCCATACCTGGAGATTTATGATGATGAGGCACCGATGTCTCCTCGAAGTGAACGTTTGATGCAATGTATCTTTATTAATTCAGCAAACGTTAGCCCAGCAACGACTTGACGATAGAAAGTCTGAAGATGATAAAAGTAAAGGTAAGGAGAAAGAAACGGGTGACACCTCAAAACCCAAAACCGACCGAGTCTCTTTTAAAACCTTTCGTGGTAGCGGTGCTATTGAGTTCTTTGGGAAGATTGATCCATTAGAGGCACTTGAATGGATATTGAATACTGAGAAGGTCTTTCGCATCACCCGAGTGTTATGTGATGATAAAGTGAATTATGCCACGACCATGTTCAAAAATAGGGCCTTGATATGGTGGAATGCTACTTTTGCAGCTTTAGGTGAAACTGAAAAAGAAGGTATGCCTTGGGAGTATTTCAAAACTCGTTTTAACAAGCAATATTGTCCAATTGATCTACAAAAACGATTGGAGGAGTTTCTTGATCTTAATCAAGGAAAGATGTCAGTGGTGGACTACGAGACCGAGTTCAATCATAAAGCATAGTTTGCCACACGTTTCTTGACTACAGAACAGGAACGTGTAGACCACTTTATAGACGGATTGCGATCAGAGATTCGAGATGTCGTCGCCAATCGTGACATTTTAGAGTTTGAGAAAGCAGTGGAATCTGCACGACGACGCAAACACAATTTGACCCGCTTGGATCGTAATCCAGCTCCGCCAGCCAAGCGACCTCGAATTGAAGGTGCCATATCTGCACCAACACAACAATTTTCTAGGAATTTCAATCCGAGATACGCTCAATCTCAAGCTAGATTGTGACATCAATCTTGGTCCCAAGCTTATAGCCTTCAGTCAAATGCTCCTCCACCCTGTTCTACCTGTGGTAAAGCTCATCAGGGTCTATGCAACACTGTTCGCCCTGAAGTTAGATGTCATGGTTGTGGTGAAGTTGGACACGTGAGATCGAACTGCCCGAGGAGGGATATGACATGCTACTCATGTGGTGCTATAGGCCATCGTCAGAGAGAATGCCCTCGATCTAAACCTGCGGAAAGTAAAGCTTATGTTCACCGACCTTCTACTAGTGGTGCTCCTCATCAAAAGGAGGAGGTACCGCGTATCCAGGCCAAAGCTTTTCAAATCACTGCTGAGGAAGCTCGAGATAAACCGGATGTGGTTATGGGTATATTTCTCGTTAATTCTCATCCCGCTCATATCTTATTTGATTCTATTCATTCGTTTCTCATACGTTTGCTCGATGTTTAAACTTTGTGCCATATGTGCTTGCTAAACCTTTTTACGTTGACACTGTTGATTGCACATCTATGCTAGCTGATAAAGTTTACAAAGATTGTGTGTTGCAATTAGATGAGCATGAGTTTTTCGTAGATCTTGTATCGATGGATATCCATAGCTTTGATATAATTATTGGTATGGATTGGTTGGCTAAGAATCGGGCTGATATTTTGTGTTTTCAACGCATAATCCGTATACCGAACAACGTCGACTATTTATATGTTTACGGTGAAAAGCGTAAAGGGGACGTAAAGTTGATTTCTATGCTTAAAGCTCGATGACACCTATCTAAAGGTTGTTCTTCCAATTTAGCCTATATTTTTGATGCGTCGAAAGAGGTAAAGAAAACGGTTAGTGACGTATCGGTTGTGTGTGAATTTCCGGATGTATTTCCCGAGGACTTACCCAGTTTACCTCCTGATAGACAAGTTGAATTTCCAATTGACTTAATTCCTGGTGCAATGCTGATTGCTAGGATGCTGTATCATCTGGCTCCGGCTAAAATGAAAGAAATGAAGAATCAACTGCAAGAACTTCTCGATAAAGGTTTTATCCGACCGAGCACTTCTCCTTGGGGTGCTCCAGTACTATTTGTCAAGAAGAAAGACGATTCAATGCGTACGTGCATTGATTACCGTGAGTTAAACAAAGTAACGATCAAGAACAAATATCCACTTCCACATATCGATGATTTGTTCGACCAATTTCAAGGTGCGAGTTACTTCTCTAAAATTGATTTATGGTCGGGTTATCATCAACTGAGAGTGCGTGAAGAAGATGAATCGATAATGGCTTTCCGTACACGTTATGGCCACTATGAATTTTTAGTTATGCCATTCGATTTAACTAATGCACCTGCAGCATTCATGGATATGATGAATCGCGTGTGCCGGCCAATGTTGGACAAATATGTGATCGTGTTTATAGACGATATTCTTGTATATTCCAAATCTGAAGCGGATCACGTGAAGCATTTGTGTGAGATGCTTGAAACACTTCGACAAGAGCGTTTATATGCTAAATTTTCGAAATGTGAATTTTGGCTACGTCAGGTGCAATTCCTAGGTCATACGATGTCACACCCCGCTAAAGCGGAAACACGAGATGTAACAGGTAAGCGAGTCACAGCAACAATTAATAAATAACACCTTTCAATTTACACAAAATAAAACGAGTTTAACTCCATAACCAAGTTTAGGATAAATACAACTTTTACAAAATACTTCAATTGCGAACTTAATCGGTCTTGCCTCGAGTATGCTCCCAAAATACAACAATTCTTATTTACTACCTGAAAAGCATGGAAAATAAAACAAGGTCAACTACAAAGAGTCGGTGAGCTCACGAGTTTTCACATGCATGAAACATTTTAATGCATAAACCAAATATTTGCATACTTATGCGAAATCTTTTGCACTTAATAAATGTAAATCTACCACGATGTAATAACTTGAGACGCTACTGAGCCTTACCTGACCAATGTGCCCCATTATTTTACGAACGACCATAAGTAGCCCGTACACTTACTTAGGTCCCACAGTTCGTAGTAGTACTAATTCAGCGGTGGTCCAAATTCCACATGATTAGACAAAGAAAAACATAGGTAATGTGCACCCCTTTCTGGGTGGGACTGTCAACACAATAGCGGCTATCCACAATACCATGGCCCGGGAACGTGCCCGAGTTAACAAGTAGCGTTTACGGACGGAGACTTTATTTGGAAACATACTCCCAAACACATCAATTTAGCATTTATTACAAAGTGCAAGAACAGTCAGTATTTCATGACCTAATAAATTTGACTAAACAGTTCTTTAGTCCGATGGTTTCAAACAAAAGCTGACTAAACAGTTCTTTWGTCCAATGATTTCAAACAAAAGTTGACTAAACAGTTCTTTAGTCCAATGGTTTCAATAAATAAACATGCATAGTTTGCTTAATCTCATGCTTTTCCCCTAAATAAATAGACAAAGCATTAAAAGTGGGGCTGTGAGAACTCACTAGTTTGATGATGAATATCCAGGAAGATGACGTCTGAAGCTCTCAACGCCCGCCCTACCGTCCTAAACAGACCAATATCCAGAATTTAGATCACTTAAGGGTTATTGACAAAGATAAAATTAAGTTGCATCCCATGCAATGCCATCGAGTTTTTATAAATTAAAGTTGATATTATAATAATTATTTTAAAAAAAGCCCAAAATTTTTATTAAAGGAAATCGAAATCCTTTACTCAAAAGCTGAATTTTGGACAAATTAAACACCCTGCTCCAAATGTTTTTGGGGTTCACCAAATACAAAAAGTAGAACCATCCAAAAGTCATTTTTATGTCCACTTTTTACATCATTCCAAATCATGAGTTAAGCCGACATTTTCCAAGTATCAAATTTTTTTGAGTGGGTTTAAGTTGCTCATAATTACCCTACAACCTTGAGTTACACAGCCCCCAAAACAGATTGCACACTCTTCGAGTGATAGTCATTTAGGAGGTCTAAACTCATCATTTTCCAAAAATTTTAAATTCTATTTTTGCACTAACAAATCCGATCAGTTTCTAGAAAATATTTTCCGATTCCATTAAATTCTTGAAGATGACAAAGCCGATTTGAGATGCGTGCATGGTTCTATGTGATTTAGGTTTAGCTTTGAGCAGAGTTGATCGATTTAGGACTTAGAAATTTGTGCATCGAGGTATCCGGTTTACTAAATCGCTTAATCTATCTCACCGGATACTTTATCGCTCAATGCTTTTTGACCTAATTTTGTTTAAATCGCATGGTTCTAATCAGTTGTTGATCATATATTGTACACCACAGTAATTGATTCTTAAAAATCAGAAGGGTTCATTAATTGGTCAGGTTTCATTCTAAATTGTACAACAAAGGTTTTGATATAGTTCATTTTTTTTATTCAAGATTAAATCGCACAAGTTTTCTTAGATTAAATTGTTTGCTGTTTCATTTGACCAAATTGTTTTGACAGATTCATCTCATTTGGATATTGGTTTCTAATTCAGACTTGTTCAATTTGATTGCTCCTTATCTTGCAGAATCTGTTTGATTTTAATTGTTTGAGTTTGATTTCCTTGAGTGTGTAGAAACTAATTTCACCCTTCATCGAACAGGTTTTAAGTTTAGATTCTTCATCGAATTTTAATCACATATTTTGTACAGTTTTAAGGATCCAAGTCAATTCTCAGTTACTGGTTTGAATTTGCTGGAGTTGATTGAGTTAAAGCACTGGTGCAGAAGTGTTTAACCCAACTGTTTGATATATTTGTTTTCATATAAATAGCTGACTTTGATTGAAACAGGTTCAATTGAAGTACTGGAGTTGAAGAAAGCTTTTCTGTAATTTGGTTTAGTATCAAACTTGATTTGCAGTCTGTTGTTTGTTTGTTAACCAAAGCTGGACAAACTTGTTTTTGGTTTTTCCAAAGTGTTCTAATTTCCAAGTGTTCTGTTTTCCAAAGAGTAGCCTTGGTGAATGCAGAAGTAGCACAAGCTCTAGTTGATTTACTTGATCTGTACACTGTGTAGTGATTTGTTGTGAAGTTTTTGTGTATCCAATTGCCTCTGCCTGTTGATTTGAGTATTCAAAGTCTGTCTTGAGCTATTAAGTAACAACATCTTGAGTGAATAAGGAAACAAACTTGAGTAGTTTAGGCGGGTTCTTAAACAATTAACAGCCTCTTTGTGAGTGATTTACAAAATTGTTAAGGTTGAGCTGAAAGTTTTTTTGTTTGCAGCTATTGAACTAGTGCAGTTTTGAAGCTGTTGCTGTTTTGATTCATTGGTCAAGACACAAGATAATTGTGCTTCAATCCCAAGATCTGTTCACATCTTTTGGCAGCAGCTAGCTCTTGTTCTGCATATAGAAGTTGATCAAAATTTCATCCTATCAGCTAAGGAGAGGGTTATACAAGAAATTGGAGACAAGGCCCCAAAAATCACTTGCATCTATTGAAGATTGATAAAACGAGCAGTAGTTACCTGGTTGTTTTGTTTTTGTACTGTTTATGTACTGGTTTTGTAATTCAATCATAGGGTGTTGTTGATTTACTGTTTTTATACTGGTTGATTGTTGTAAGGTGCTGGAAACAACTAAGAATAGTGATTTAGACAGCATTGATTCTGTTTTTTGAGGTTTATTTGTGACTTGTCCGATTCAACAACTGAGAATAGTGATTTAGGTTGTTTGTTGAGAAATATTTGAGACTTTTAGAGTTCAGTTTAGAGACTGTTTAATGAGATTGTTAGACTAGTTTGGTGAGTGATTTATCTTACCTTTGAGAGATTTACTTGTTTGTGCAGAGACTGCTGTAAGAAGAGGAGTACTGGAATTGGATTCTTTGTTTTGGATTTGGATTTGGATTTGAATTGACGGGGGCAGGCAATTTGAAAGAAGCTGAGAATTTGGCTTTATCAATATTTTGTTGTGTTTTGTCTTTGAGTTTTATTTTTTTTAGATTGTAATTTTTGGATCATTTCGTTTATGTGTTTTGTGTGTGTTTAAACTGTTTGAGAATCATTAACCTGCTTTCTGTCGCGTAAACTATTTTTCATCAGTTTTAACTGTCTTTAATTGTTTTGAACAGTTTTTAACTGTTTTCAACAGTTTTGACTGTTTTTACTGATTTTTGACAGTTCTTCGTCGTTTTTCTAAATTCTCTTCAGTTTATGTTTTTTGTTTTTTCTTTTTGAGCTTAATTGTTCATGATTTTTTTTGTCTGATTTCATCGCATAGATCCTATAACTGATCAATCTATTTTTAAAATGGCAGTTTCAAATGAGAAGTTAAGAGAGAAGATTGTTGAGCTGGAAAAGAGCGTACAGAATTACAAAGATAAAGTCATAAAATTGTATTATGAAAATCAAGGGAATCTGAAATATATCAAAGTTTTAAAGACAGATCATAATACAGAATGTGAAAGAATCATGAAGGAATTTGAGTATAAAATTGAAAACCTCGAGAACACTCTCAGCTTTGTAAGAAATCATTATGATGAGGATTTGAAGACTTGGAGTGAAGCTAATAACAATCTTTTTAATAAACTCAGAGAGGTTAAAAGTGAAGTTTTAACTGAGAAAAACTCTCCAAGGAATAATACAGAGATAGAGGATTTAACTGAGAAGTTCCATAAGTCTGAGAATGATCTGAGTGAGTTAAAGAAGTTACTGGATTTAGAGAAGGAGAAATTTCTGACAGCAGAAAAGAGTTTGAATGTTGATAGAGCAGAGTTTGAGAAGGAGAAGAAAAGATTTATTGGAGTTGAAAGAAAATTTGGAACTGAACGTGAACATTATGAAAATAAGATTAACTCTCTCGAGTTGAACGCAAAGATGCTGTTAAAGCAAATCTCGGATTTTGAACAGCTGATCATCTTGGAACGAGCCAAGAATGATAAAGAAAAGAAAGACATAACCAAAGACTGTCAGAGTCAATTACAGAAATTGTCTGAAAGCATTGATCTAAAGCAAAAGGCTTTAGACGAAGAGAAAAAACAATTTGCTCTTGAGAAAAGAAATACTTCAAAGAAGTATACAGCTAGGGGTGATCAAAAACCCGATGAACCCGATCAACCCAACCCTATTAAAAAAAAAAAAACTAACCCGAGGTAACCCGAAGGTTGATTGATTAAAAAATTAAGTAACCCGACTCTATTGGGTTGAAATCGGTTTAGGCCCAATGAAAACCGACCCAACCCGATGACCCGATTGGAAGCAACAAAACACACGGGAATGGGGAACCCTCTTGTTTAACCTAGATGCTCTGCTTGCTCCTTGCCTCCTTCCTAAACTCAAATCAAACACAATACACTAAATCACTAATACAGTCGACTAGTCGAGTAGCAGCGGATCGGCCAGCAAGCGAGAGTGCGAGACTGTGAGAGGCCGAGATCGATTGATAGCCTTCGGCGGTTCTGTCAGCAAGCGAAAGTGCGAGACTGCGAGAGGCCGAGATCGATTGACAGCCTTGGGCGGTTCTGTCAGCAAGCGAGAGTGCAAGACTGCGAGAGGCCGAGATCGATTGACAGCCAAGATCGATTGATATCAGTTGTGTGTGTGAGTTACGACTTGCGACACAGCCTTGCGATTTACATAGATAAGGTAACACAACACAACCTTCGATTTACACAGCTTTATTATTGATTTACATAGCTTTACATAGAGCTTTACATATCGATTTAAATATTAGAACTGAAGACAGTAGCATTACATGATGGTTATATACAAAGGTTCAAGCAGGATCAAAACTCAAAACATGTACGCATATGAAATCCGAAAAATACCTATAAGATATTGCAATAAAATCACAAATACCCAACAAGTAAGCAAAATACTGTTTGTAAAGCTGGTAAAATGCATGATTGAATTATCCGATGTTCAACAAAACCCGCTCTTAACTGACCTTTGTGTCTTGTTCTCCTCGCAGTATTTTACAGTCTGTTTGTAGAGCTTTCCTTTATTTTTATGTGATTTTACATTGGTTAAACATAACCCGATCAACCCGATCAACCCGAACGGGTTTGGTTGGGTTGGGTTGAACTTTTGTTTGGGTTGGGTTGGGTTGAAAATTTTCAAACCACCAACATTGGGTTGGGTTGTTAAAACGACTCCAAACCGATCAACTCGGGCCGTGAGCACCCCTATATACAGCAATTGCTAAGGAACTTGCAAGTAAGAAAAAGTGGTTTGACATCGCTTCGGAGAATGACAAGAGCAGCTCAGATGAAGAGAAACGAGAGTTGATAAATCAGAAGAAAAAGTTTGAAATGCTACAGAAGGAGTTAGAAGGTAAACTCCTGGATACTACAAGTAAATTGTCTGATCTAAAGACAGACCTTGAAACTGAGATGAAGATGAGAACTGAACTAAAAATTAAATTTGATTTAGTTACTGCTGAAAGAGACCAGCTTTTACAAAAAGTCAAAGACTTTTCATTTGCTAAAAGCACAACAGGTTCTCCTTCTCAGTGTAAAACCAACTTTTATGACTGTTCCAAATCGAACAGTTATTCAAGTAGTCCTAAATCTACTGTTTCTAAGAACTATTCTCGTTCTTCTAATCAGTATTATCAAGGGTATGTCATTGGATCACCCAATTATTCTTCAAAGGTTAAAAGCATGTGGGTTAATAAGTCTGAATTTGTTTTATCTCAGAAGTCTGTTGTTACTAACAATCTTCCTTGCTTTGTGAGATCCAATTCTGATTTGATTCATCTTAGCAAGAGAAGAATCATGTGCTCCACATGTAAATCAACAGATTTTGTGAATAAGAAGAGCTATAACAGATGGAGTACAACCAACAGATATCAGACTAATTCGAATGGTAAGAACAGGTATGATCACTGGTACGGTTCATATTTTATTCCTGATCATCCTGTTCATAGTGCTGAAAAGAAAATATCTTATAGAAATATATGGTTTGGAAATTACAACATACCTCAACCTGATATTAACATAATAGGACCCAAATTCATTTGGGTACCAAAATCTACTTAACCCGATTTTGCAGGTGTGTCAAGTTTGTGCTGATCAGAATATCATTTCAATGATACACCAATGCAGGGGGAGTTGTAATTTATTCCAATCAAGGCTTCTGAACAATTTAGTTCAGAACCCGTACTTAAAATGTTTCAATTTTTTTATTCTTTTGAGCTGAACTGAATCACTTAAATCTGTTTTCTAGGGGAGTCTCTAGAATTATGAATAAATGTTTTTTTTTTGAAAATGAATATTTTTTTTGGGGTTACAAGTACATTTTCTAGAACATGTATTTCTTGAGATTTTACTTTTGTAATTTCTCGTCGTACATAACTCCAATACATGTTTCAACTATTCTTCAAACTGTTATTATCACGTATCTTATACGAAAATCATTTTTGGTGATAATACACTCGTTTGTATTCAAACTTTGTCTTCTGATATTTAATTTTACAACTGATACATATACATTCATTTTTTGAATATCAGAATCTGTAAACTTGTTCTTACAGATCTTCATTCATTTCTCTCGTATATACTGAATAATCGAATCGTTGTCGCATCATTCTTTCGT